ACTCACTAGAGACTGTGCAGATTCAGACAATGAAAGTCAAGAAGATCAGAAGAAGTCAAGAAGAGAGGTGAGGTGATTAGGTTTTGATTTGGTGAAGGAGACGACAAGAGATCAGAAGAACTGAAGAAGAGTAGTGAGGCGGCCGCTTTCTCTTTGGCTTCCTTGATCTTCTTTAGTTAGGTTTAGGTTTTATGTATATATATACAGTTAATACATAATATAACTAAAACCAAAGAAAATAAAAAACGTAGGGTTATATATATATATATATATATATATATATATATATTTATAATATTAATATATAGTAATATATTTACTTGTTCTGTTTTTCGTAACTAGCATATATATATTTACTTGTTCTGTTTTTCGTAACCAGCATATATATATATATATATATATATTTTACGGATTACCCATGGATCGGATTCACGGATCAGATCGGATTTTTGACAGCCTAATCCGTGAACTATGGATTCAAATTTTTTGAATCCGCCCCCAATCCGTGGGTTTAATAATCCGATCCTATTCGTACGGTTCAGATCGGATCCGATCCGATCCGATTCACAGACTCGCGAATTTTTTGCCCAGCCCTAAAATGCGAGCCGCTCGCTAGGGCCTGCGAGCGTTAGTTGGCCTGCTTCCTTCAAGCGAGCCTGCTATGGCGGCATTTGCTCGTCAAGATGGGGACCTTTAGCGCGTCAAGATGGGGACCTTTAGCGAGTCCCCTACAATGACCTAAAACTTATGATCAACAGTGCTAGCTGCAAGACCCATTTTCCTCTAAAAATCATCGTCTTTATGAGTAAGGGATCCAATGCTCCTTGTTTGTGCAAGGAAAGATAATACTGCACCTCTACTATTTTTAGACCCTCTCTCTCTCTGTCTCTCTCTCTCTCTATATATATATATATATCTACTTTTGTGCTATTGTTTTTACAGCGTAATCAATCACTCTACTCACCACTACGTGAAGAAAGCAGAAATATATGGTTAGTATGGAAATTTAGAGACAAAATCTTCTACTTTATACAGGCTTACTTAGTTATGATATCTTTTATCTTTTCTATTTTGATTTATATATAAATTTTTTACTTTTAAAATTATCAAATTATTATTTTAAAATTTAAATAAATATATTATCAAGTTAAAAGGATGATTTTTTATTTTTTTATTTTTTGGCTTAAATTTTGAAATGAGACAAGTAATATCGGACAGCCCAAAATGGTGTTCCCTTTAATCTTCTTCAAAATTTTATTGTCCATTCGTTATTTTGACGTGCATAATTTATTTCTCTTAGCCATCTAACATTGTCCCTCTCAAAACCCATCATTCCATCTTTACACATCACCTAATTCATTTCTTAAGCCATTTGATATGAGACCTTAATTTGTACACATTTACATGTAGGGATGGTAATATGCCCACGAGGACAAGGAAGGGTACCTGCCTCGTCCTGCCCTGATTATAGCGATTTTGGAGAACTATTTAATTTAATTGGATGTAGATGTCTTTTATTAGTAAACACTCGTGCAAAGACGGGGAGCTCACCCTGCCCCGTTTATATTTTCTATTTATTAATTTATCCTTATATAAATATATATGTACATTTAATACCCTAAATCCTAATCTCAACAACCCTAAATCCTAATTTGACCATATTTTCCTTCATTGGTTTGGTTTTATTAGATTTAAGGGAAACAAATAGTGGGAGTTTGGAAGTAAAAGGGGCGGGGCGAGTGCTCACAGGGGTGAGGAAACTTAAATGGGGTAGGGACAGGGTAGGAGGGTAGCCCGTTTAGTCGGTTTTGGGCGGAAGTGGGGCGGGGTAACTTAAATGGGGACGGGAGAGGGGGAGGGTATACCTGTGATGAGCACTGAAAAGTGCGCATTTAAACCCGTTAAGCTTAAGCATTCTAGTACCTTTATCTATCTTATTTTGCCATTTTAGACTTATTACGTGTTATTTATATTTTCAGGCACTAATCCCAAAATTGAGCTAACTCAGCCAAATAAGAGCTTAATTGAAGCAATCCTGAGATAAACCAAAGGAGGGAGCAAAGTGGAGAAAGAAAGGAACAAAAAGGAATCAAAGTTGTACAGTTGAAAAGTTCGATCGATCCAACTTAGAGTTCGATCGATCGAACATCTATGATCGATCACAGTACTTCTCGATAGATCCAACCTTAGCCTTTGCTGAAATTCCAAGTTCGATCAATCTAACATCACCTTCGATCGATCGAACCCTATTTTGTCCTATTCAAATGATTGATCTTATCCACAGCTGTACGCCTACCAACCACTTTTATCCTTTTCCCCATAAATATCTTCGAAATATCTCAGCCTTGTCCTTATCCGGAGGAGTCAGACCACTTCGATAGATCCAAGATGCAGTTCGATCAATCGAACCCATTTTCGATCGATCCAAGTTAAGGTTCGATCGATCGAACTTCCTCCAGCGAGAAAAAGTTAAAGTCCAGCTCATTTATTCCGTCCTTCATCCAATGATTGGAGAATATGCCTTGCACGACCACAACTCATCATGGGGTGTATTTGACCTACCTATATAAGGAATATGATATACTTTTTGAGGGAGTCTCTAGAGTCTCTTGTCACACATTGAAAATCATCTTGGAGGCTATTCTTGGAGAGAAGAAGGGAAGAAGCTAGAGCACCATTGGAGGAGATCTTCACCAACAAAGAGCAGCCATGGAGTTAGCCTTTGAGGGTTGGATCATCACTACCATGAGTGGCTAGACATCCTCTTGGGGCTAGAGTTAGCCCTAAGCATGCTTTCTATACTCTAATCTTGTGTATTATTGAGGGATTAGTGTTGTATGATACATCTTGATATTCATGTATATATAAATCTTGATTATTTCATGGTTTGTATGGTTTAATGTTTCCAATTGACTATTCTATTCTATCCATATGTCTATGTATGCTAGAGTAGGATATTCATGTGCTCATCTCTAGATTTAGTGTTTTTGATGCATGTCTATGTGTATTGATGCTATAGGTTTAGAGATTATCAAGATGATATGCTTAATGGAATGTTCTTGTTATGTCTTTTGATGGTTCATACTTATTCCTTGATGGATTGTACCTCTCCCTTAGTTTATTTTCATGCTAGTAATGTAGTTGTAGTGTAGTGTTAGATGGGGGAGACAATTCATGCTTGTTCTTTTATGTTCCATGCTTTTGAATGCAAGAAGCATATGCTCTAATATTGTGGTGTAATGAAATTTTGAGCTTAATGAAGGATTAATGACTAGTTATGATATGTTGTATCTTTCACATGTGTTTAAACAATTTATTCCTCTCCCAATAGATATTTTGTACCTCTCACATGATGTTTAGATAATGTATGTTTAACTAAGTCATCCTTATGGATTGCTTGGACTATGAGCTTAATGAAAGGTACAATGACTTGAATTGTTATTTTGTTATCTTCACATGATGTTTAGACAATATATTCCTCTACCAATAGATGTATTGTGACCTCACACATGTTGATTGAGATAATTTGCACTTGTTGAGTCACCCTTACCAATTGAATGTCTTTTACACACACAACATTGTTGCAACACATCCATTACCCTCAATTGATCACTTGTTAGTAGTATAAAAAAGTATTGCTTGGTGGTGATCTCTACACCCCAAGACCTCTCTCTCTCTCTTTTGTTTACTTCATATTATTTTATTTAGTTGAATTCAATTTAGCTTAATCAACCAACCCAACTCTCTTTTGCAATCATTTGGTACTCTAGAGTCGAAGTTGAAATTCCAACACGTCTGATCCCTTGGGACGATCCCTACTCACTCTTGCTACGTTAGTAGTGGTGTTGGTAGTGGTTTTTATAAATTTAAATTTGACATAAAAGGCTTTTCTTGAACCACACATTCACTACATTTAGTTTGGCGTATTGGAAGCGACCTCGTCAACCTGCTCAAAACCGTTCCCGTTACCATCCCTAGTACCCACTATTCACCTATTATCTATCCATAAATGTAATGGGTACTCATTTTTTACCCATTTATTTAAATTGATTACCCAAATGATATAAAACTGTTATAAGAACAATTTTTAAAATTTTTGGTATTCAAAAATTAAAAATCTTTGCCAATTTGTTTCTAAAAATATTTGGGTAATTGGGTTGGGTGTGGGTTTAGCTCAACCCATTTAACACCCAACCCATTTTTAACCCACCATAAAGGCGGGGCTGATAATGGGCTAGTGATTGATTACTGTCCCGCTCATTCATGACTAGCCCAAAGCCCACCCAATTGCAGGCCCTAAACAAACTTAACATGTCTAATCAAATACACTGACTTAAATTTTAGTCAATTTTAAATGATGTCTAAAATGCCTAATTAAACACACTTTAGTAGAATAATCATATAGTGTATAGTTAAAGTTAAATAATAAATTAAGTTATCAAACAATATATTATTAAATATATATATTTAAATTCAATTCGAATCATTGATGGATCTTCGAAACATCTATATTTGATTCAAAACATCCATGAATGTTATAGTATTGTTAGAAGTTGGAATAGAACTTATAATTTAGCATTCTCGTGGCATTAGAAGCACCATAGTATCATTATATCTTAAGGTCCTAATCAAAATTATCCCTTCTTCTTTAGTGAAGAAATAGAGTGTTCGAACTTTGGTGGAGATAGAGTGTTTGCGTAAATTGCTTTAACTACTAAAAAAAACCACCATGATCTCCATACTCTTTTCTTACTAGTAAATTAAAAGTGATAAAATAAAATAAAATAATAAATTGACGAACACTCGGTAGTAGAGATTCTATTCTTTTTAAATGCTTACAATAATATTTGTTGGACTCCATCTATTGGAGACGCTATTAAAACCAATCTATTCTTGGAGCATTAATCAATCTAGTAACAACTTAAAACAGAAGTTCAAGTGCACATTCTATAAATATTAAATACGCTTAAACACAGCCTTGTGAGGATCTTATAATGCAACTAGGCAGTAGCACCTCCAGATTGGTGCACCATAGCATCTATCTCATCACCATCCTCCATTCCCAGCTCATCAGGTGTCTGCTTTGCTCGGTGAAGACGACCATCAAACAGGAATACAGTAGAGTTGCGATCCACTGATTGCCGATCACAGAAATCATCCATGAGCTTCTTCAGTTGTGTGCTTCTCTTAGTTTTGAAGAACACTTGGTTCCCGTCCTGACCCTTCACCGTCAGATTGATTTCAGCCGATTGATCATCATTGGTGGGTTTCTTGTCTTTCTGCTGCTTCCTAAAACCCGGCGACATTCTTCACCGTTCGCTCCGATTTTTCACTAAAATTCCAAACAAACAAACACGTCTCTCACTCTCTCTACACTCTTGTTATTTGAAGCTGTTTTTATGTAAAGAGAAGAAGCAAAATGTCATATAATATAAAAGCAACTAGGTAGGTGATAGAATTATTGTTTCATTAACTTGTACAAAGGTAGGTGGAGAAATGTGTACAATGGCATAAAAATGGTCAACATAGACTGACAAGACTCAAGAGCGAAACAAGCTTTAGCAGAAACATAAATACATAGACATGGAAACGGAAATATTTTGAAATTGGATACAACTCAATAAAAGGTGATCGATTTCCTTTTACGTCTTTATTTATTTATTTTGTTTCTGTTTTATATGCGAAATGGAGCATATGTGTGTGTGTGTGTGTGAATTCAGATTTGAATGTATATTTTAATGTTAAAGATCCAAATTTGAATTGTGTCATGCGTTGGTATTCCGAATGCAAAAATAAGTAATCTTGTAAAGCTATAAAGTAATATAGTTTTAAAATAAACATATTCTTTTTGGGCTTGGGCTGAGCTTCGGGTATTAAATAATATTAACCCAAGCCCAGACCGAATTTAATTTGGGCTCAAAATATCTAGCCCAAGCCCAAACTTAGAATAGAAAAATACTGCCCAAGCCTTGAAAATTTCAGGTTGGACTCGGGCAAATTAGGGCTGGCTCGGCCCGAGTTGCAGCCTAGATAGAGATGATGAGAGGGTGGATAGAACATCAATAATGAGAGTGGTAGGTTATAAAAGGTTCGAGTATCCAACTCTATAACTTGAAAGGCTCGAGTATAATGCACAAAATTTGCATCGTATTTGTGAATAATAAACTTGATCGTAATTAAATCTCATGTAAAATCAAATTCGTTTAAAAATGATTCAAAATTCATGACATGTCTTTTTTAAGAAAGATCAATATTCAACTTGTTTTAAATTTGGATTCGAAATTAAAATCCAAACCCCCTATTAATATTCTTCAGACTCAATTAATTAAATTTTATGCCAAACCCACTTACATTTCAAATCCTAGTTTTTTAAGAAAATGATATTTATATTCAACAAATTGAGTTCCAGAAGGGTTTATTTTTTGGAGCCCCAGTAACCATCAAGTGTATCCTTAATACTCAAAATACGAAGCGGCAAAAATGATCATATTATTTCTGTCCTCCAAAGGGCCAAAGCCCAAAAAAGAATAACAACATAGCTGGTCACCAGTGTTGATCCAACCCAATATTACAGTTTGTCAAAGAGACAAAGACAATAATTGTCTAAGGAGCCCTAGACTAACTTTGTCATGTGTCGAAATGGTGGAACAATACGAGGTTGATGTCATAATTTAGAACTCTCTCTTTATTTAAAAAAAAAATTATTAAATGGTTAAACTTGTGGAACAGTTTACTCAGAGTATTCGTTTTCCTTCTTTTCTTATTAGAATTGGAAATCCCATGTTTTACATATGAATAATTATAGGGCGATTCGGAGACTGATGATTTAATTTCGAATAAGTATCGAATCTGATATGTTTTTATTCACCTTATCTACTTAAACAGTTTCCAAAAATAATTATTTAACACGTGATAAGAATGACCAACTACATCTGTAGACACTAAAATTTAGTGGACTTTGGTTTTAACGAATGGACCCATTAAATATAGGCCTAATGTTTAAATAAATTATTTAATTTACCAGGCTTGATCCACTTAAATTATTTAATTAGCCCAACCCAGATAATTAAATGAAACGATAATTATTCCTAATAAAATATATTTTGAATAATTATCTTTAAGGATAATTATCACAATATAACCGGCCCGGCCCAGTTATAGTTTTATCCTTATCAGGAGATGACACGTGTCATCATCCTATTAATCCAAGAAGCCTATAAATAGAGGCTTGGAGGAAGAAAAAATGAGAGAGGATTCAGAATTCAGAAGTCTACAAATTCAGACACAAATTCAGAATTCAAAAGTTCAGAGACTCAGAAATCCAGAGACTCAGAATTCAGACACAAATTCAGAATCGAAACCTAAAAGCGAAGAACATCAAGCACATCCAACAACGTGCCGTTCTTCATCAAATTCCACAGTGATTTAAGAACAAGCTCGTGCAGCCCTTGGATCCAACCAACCAAAAACAAGGAGATCGAATCAGAGGACCATTTTTTTTTTTTGTAAAAGATATTACAAAGGACTATACTCCACATTCATAAATTAATAAAATTCTATTTTGCTCTATATTTTGTTTTTATTGCAGACTTACAAAATTTGTGTGTACAAATTTGTGGCACGCCCGGTGGGACCACCTTTGCCTCTCATCTCTTTCTCCTACCATCAAGTTTCTTCTCTATCAGATTCTATGGCTCCCCCTAAGATTCAGACAGACAAGAAAGCCCAAAAGAACATCGCTATTGCAAAGGTCGACGCTAAAGCCACCATGAAAAGTGGCACGAAGACCAAATTAAGCGATGGAAGTACCTTGACGGGCCCTGTGACACGTAGCAAGTCCCAGGCGATGGCGTCATTCAAACTTCAGCAAGATGTGGTGAAAACTAATCCTACAACACAGGCGAACATGAAAACTCAACATGTCAAAAACCTTGACATTGTTCCAGAGGAGGTTCCACCACCAGATTCACTTCGTTCTATCTATGATGCTTACTCTAGTGTCGGTTCACCCCCAGAGTCACCACGTCAGACTTCGGAGCAATCAATCACTTCAAGGAACGTGGATTCTCAAGGCCTATCATACTCAGACGTGGTTGCTGCTATGATGACTGGAGCTGCTACGGTGGAGGAACAACTAGCAACTATGGCTCATTCCATTGAGAACCTCACAAAGACTATTGAAGAAAAGGACTTGCAAATCGCTACACTAATGAATAAATTGGAAGTTCAGACCTTCGGTGAAACACCAATGCCATCCGGGAATCGTACAACTTTCACACCACCGTCGTCTGGGAAACCTACATCTTCCACAGCAATACTAACGGAGAATCCTAATTCTACAACACAAGGTACTCACAGGGAGAATCCCAAACAGACGCCGGTAACAGAACAAGCGACTAGTCAAAACCAGACGCCGGGGATAGAACAGGCGACTGGTCAAACCAATCATACCTCTTCTTCAGTCTCTTCATTATCTGTCGAACAATTGCAAGATATGATAACGAATACAATCCGAATATGGTGGTGTCTCACAGAGCACTCTGATGTACTCAAAGCCCTATACAAGGAGAATCGACAGTATAAGAATGCATGTAGGATACCAACCTCCGAAGATTCAGCAATTTGACGAAAAAGGTAACCCCAAGCAACACATTGCCCATTTTGTCGAGACTTGTAACAATGCCAGAACAGAGGGGGACTTACTAGTCAAACAGTTTGTCCGGTCCCTTAAAGGAAACGCGTTCAAGTGGTACACTGACCTAAAGTCAGAATCAATTGATAGTTGGGACCAGATGGAACGAGAATTCTTGAACAGGTTCTATAGCACTCGTCGTACTGTTAGTATGATAGAGTTGACTAACACGAAGCAATGGAAGGATGAGCCTGTAATCAACTACATTAATCGGTGGAGAGCCCTCAGTCTTGACTGCAAGGACCGTTTGTCAGAAGTATCTGCTGTGGAGATGTGTATGCAGGGAATGCATTGGGGCCTGCTCTACATTCTACAAGGCATAAAACCTCGCACATTTGAGGAATTGGCTACGCGTGCCCATGACATGGAGATCAGTATGAAATCCCATGACGGCAAAAGTCCCGTGACTATAGAACCACGCAAAGATAAGAAGGACTGGAAGAAGGGCAACAAGTCATCAAAAAATGCGGCTAAAGATTCAATGGCTATCTCAACCACCCCAATCAAGATATCTGTTAAAGATGACAAAAAGGATGATAAAAAGCCTCGCCAGTTTCAAGAGAGGGAGAGACAGCGTCCTACGCTAAAGGAGTTAGAGAAGAAAGAATACCCTTTCCCCGATTCCGATGTTCCTGGCATCTTGGAATGTTTACTTGAAAGTAAAATTATAGAACTCTCTGAATGTAAACGTCCTCCAGAGATGGGACGTATCAACGATCCAAAATACTGTAAATATCATCGCATTATTAGTCATCCAATTGAGAAGTGTTTTATCTTCAAGGAGGTGGTGATGAATCTGGCAAAACAAGGAAAAATCTTGTTGGATACAGACGAAGTTGTAACTTCAAATCGTACTACTGCTACTTTGACAACCTGTGTCGTGGGGAGTGCTCGTTCTCAACCTTTAACTTCGGAGGTATCTTGCACAACTATCCAGTTTGGTTCATTGGAACCAATCCCAATCTATATTGGCTAAGGGAGTGTACGTGACATTTCAACATTTGGAAGGGTTTTTCCTCAGGATGATGAAGAAGGATGGACTCTGGTGACAAGAAAGAAACCACGGAAGCAACAAGCTGATATTTTTCAGACTAATTATTCTGACAGAGGGCAAAGGAAGAAGAAACCCCAATATCACCATAAACAGTCTGGCCATAACAGAAAATGGGTCAAGAAGACACAGTCAACTAAACATACCTCTATAAGCAAAAAGAGTCAGAAGCCTATTACTTTGCAAAAGTTCTTTCCAAAAGGATACCTAAATGACGAAGTTGTAACAACTTACATGGTTTCAACTAAGAAAATAAGCCTTAATGATGAGAAGAACGAGGATCAAGATGAAGTCCAGACTATAGATAACCATAATACAGCCATCATTGAAAAATCTGATAATGATGAAGTGGTCAGAGGTACGTTTGAGTCATGTTGTGCACCAATTGTTTTCACAGACGAGGATCTTCAGTTGGGTTCGAAGCCGCACAATTGTCCTCTCTTCGTCTCCGGTTACATAAAAGAACGAAGAGTTACTCGTATTCTTGTTGATGGTGGCTCGGCGGTGAATCTAATGCCAAAATTTACGATGAAAAATCTTGGCATCACAATTGACGAGTTATC